CCTGCTTGGTATCTTGCTGACCTGAAGTATACGGATGATGTTGTGTTGGTCAGTAGTAAGGCGAATGGGTTTTGTCATTTGACAGCTTCCATCTGCGATGCAGCTACAAAACCTGACAGATTTCCCGAGTCTTGAAGTTAAAAGTCGTGAAAAACTCATCCGGCACAACTGATCCACAAATGCAACAGGGGGAGGGGTGAAATGCTTGATGAAGTTGATCAGTTTATGCTTCTGGGCTTATCATCTCCAGGAAAGGTACCATTCAATCAGAGTTTAATTAAACGATAGTTCAGCCTCCTCTGGTTTTTGTAACCTGTGCAATAATTGGGCTGGCATTTTCATCCACTTGTAGTTTACCTCAGCAAGGCAGATTCTGCATAGTTTTGAGAAAGTTGTTCCAACGAAGTAAGGATTAAGAACGAACGGTCAAACTATGCACAACAGCTTTGACTTCGACGCATAATGAGGTTTAGTTGACAGGAATATGTAAGGAATAACTCTGTTCTCTTCCAAGCGCAAGTAACCTCCGTAAATGTGAATGTTAGGAAAAGGAGGTTATTTTTGTTAGACAAATCGATTCAGCATAAATTCTTTACTCCAGTGCATGGGCTTTCCGCGTGGAAGCCGAAACTCGGTATAAATAGACCAAGAGATCAGCATGCATCATGAGTGATCAGAGTAGAGGCAGTTCTGCCTTCCGATAAGAAAATTTCCCTTTAAATACCTTATATCAAAAGGCCTGAAAATATGGGAATATAGCGTGCACTATTAAATGATCTGCTTACACAAAATAGATTGCGCTTAATCACGTATAGAACGGGTTCGTTCTTGAAATTTATTATTCACAAATTAACCTCATCTTTTGTCAGCCCTTACGAGGAAACGATTTTGATCAAGCAGGATCGATAATAGTTAAATATCTGGGTTTGAGCAAGTGATTGTTAAGTTCTGGTGAGATATCCAGGGCGTTCTGTATTTGTCACCTCAGTTGATTGTTAACGGATTCTACGTCATTGTTATTGTTATATTGTTGGAAAAACGTTTGTCAGTGGCTGGCTATGATTTTGTTTTCAGCACGACATGGAAAACGTTGTTTCTTTTGTATTCGTACTGTAAAACAGTATTAATTGGCATGGCGCGATGATCAGTCGAACGCCTGACCGATAGTCGTGTTTCAGCCCATATCTTACAAACCGTTTTTAATGTGTTTATGGACGAAGTTCGACTGCTGTTAGGATAGTCTGCAGCAGTTGGTTCGGTTGGAGTCGAGAAAGGCCTTCATCGATCGATCTACCTTGAAGAACGCCCATGGGATATGCATCGAAACGTCGGTATAGGTTATTCGCCGAACTAGTGCAGAATCGATTATTAAACCTGAACTAATGTCTACGAACGTCAGGCTATATTAGATGATGTTTGATTAGACCCTAATTTATTAAATTAAACAATGATCACATATTTACAGACTTTGACAGAATTTCATTAACTGAGGATTTTTGAGTTGATGATAGGCCACTACAAGTACCACAGTGGTTGAGGATAGTGCAAATACGTCTTTGCGTTATCCCGTACTCGAATCGCTGCAAATTGTCAGCGGCGCCATCAGGACGGAGCATTGGAGGGTAACAGGAGAGTTTGGACGTAACAGGTAACAGGTGGTTCTTACGTCGCGATCGTTGCACTCTACCTTGTTAACCTCGTACATCTCTTTCGTTCTGTCCGGTGCCCGTTGGATGGATGACATTTCCGGCAGATGTGCGATCCGGATAAGCCGCCCGTTTTGTACTAGATTTGAAAGCCGTCATTCTTCGGGTGCTGTTTGACTTTGTTGGTGAGTTTGGAGGTAAAGCGGATGACTTCAGTTCATGTTATTCTTTGTCGCCTGCAAACTTTTTCGGCATGTACGCCGTTTGCAGGGACGAAAAGAATGGCCAGGTTGCAAGCCTAGGTTCTCCTATGAAGAGGGCATGAAATCACCGGATCGTTTCATCTGCTTTATACAAAAGGCGTGCCGCCACCATCACCGCCACCTGCTGCTCTGCTGGTGTTCAATAACCGTTATTTTGACATAAACGGACGACAGTCATTTTTTCCTTCAAATTTCAGGAAGGAACTTAGAGAGATTTCCGTCGCAGCAAGTGATCCGAAAATCTGTGCCCCCGAGAAGCAAAACACGCTGTCGGCGTGCGTGAAACAGACGTACGACTCGACGGAGTTTTTGCGCCAGCAGCGCCTCAGGGAAATGTGCGACACTCGTCGCAGCTGCTACATGAAAACGTAGGTGTTCGCCTGTGCACTGGTGTCGTTTGTCCGACTTCGCAGGCACGTACTTTTAGGTTGACCCAAAATTGTCGAAAACTGTTGAACAAGAGTCAGGAGCTGATCATCAAATGCAGCTGCAACGGAGACATTAACATCAACCAGTTCAAGGCCGACTTTTTCTCGTGCCTGCAAGGCAACAAGAACGGCGACCACGAAAGCGCGGCTCATCTGATCCTCGAGGATTTGTACTACGGCATTTGCAAAATGATGAAAACCTATTCCGTGATGTGTCCAAATGTGAAAACTGCTGCAGGATAAATTTTCGAAAACGTAGCAAATACGGTAAATAAATAAATGCACTATTTTGAATAGGAAATACGTTCCGCGGGCGTTCGATGCGACGGCGTTGAACATTTTCTTGAAACTGTTCTCGGAATCGTCAACTGTCTGTACGTGTGAAATGTGTCATAAATAAAATTTTTGTCCACGCATTGTTTTTCGCTTCCACGTAGACGTCTGAGACGGTTTTTTGGTCTGCTGGCGATTGGTGACACGCAGCGCAGAAAAATGAAACTTCGAAGGCGCCTTCGAGTAGGTAGTTTTCACTACGTTCGTCACTCACGTCACTTCTACCTCACCTGTTTACTGCGAATAACGCCAAAAGTGACGAGCGGAATCAGTACGGCAAATTGAACCAACCGTCATACTCACTATGGCTACGCTATGTAGTGCAGAACCTTCGTTTTCGATTTGCATCTTTTCGGCGATTCGAAATTCAGATATGCACTAAAAAAAATTCATATTTGTAATTTGCAACCAACTGCGGTTGCTTTTCACCAATATTGCCATAAAGAGTGACCATGACACGTGGTTTTAGGCCGACACCGCGCCTGCCATTGCTTGCAGGTGCCTTAGAGCGCCATTTAGGCAGACCATGGCTCAATGAAACCCGGTCGCGCGCCGTGCATTGAAACTATACTGCTTGCTTGAGTTGGGCAGAACCATACGCTTCAGCTCGTCGACTCGGAATCGCGCATCGAACAGAATGCTGGCAATGCTTTTCTAGCTCAGATGCATTACAGAATTTGTTAAATTTATTTTATTTACGACCATCACCCCCGTAAAAATTATACTTAGCTATGTTATCGCAAATTTTGTTTACTTTTGAGTCTTTCGAACGCTTTGAAATTCGCATATAGATCCAAAACGCAACCGAACATTTCATGTTCATTCAGCTCATCTCTTTCTTCATAGAAATTTTCAATTTCCTCATCAGGACGGTTTAATATGGGGGCATATGTTTGGGTCATCTGGGGTTTGTGCCTACTTGAAACTTTCAGAATCAGTGTTGCGTACCTCTCTGAAAAGCTGTTCACTTATACTAAATTGTTTCTTATTCACCTGTGGAAGTTGAACGCTATTCCCTTTGTTCTAGGTGCATCCTCAGTAGAACGGGAGGTATCTACTGCTGAGCTCTAACAGCCTGTTGCCATTTGCCCTAACTTCGCTGAGTTTGACTTGATTTTTGTGAGGCATTATTCTAGTCGTCAAAGCCTTAGAAGTCATCTGCAGCTGTACGTTACCAGCTTTAGTAAACCACAGCAACTCCGATCCTTAACTTTAGTACTGTTGGCACCTTCTACCTTCATGCATGAGCAACTGCTGCCGCCATCAGCCGCAATTCAGCCTCCGGGGAATAATGGTCGCCATTTAAGTTGTGAGTTCATCCTTAAGGATTTGGCCCTAACCCGCCACGCTGGCAAAGCGGCTTGCTGAGAGTGCTATTCCATTTGACAATGTATATGTCTAATTTTTCATAACAAGGTCGAACCCATCAGAGTACAGGTTCAACTGTACATCGCCTTGGGTGCCTATTGTCACTTTCCTATCACTTTGAGGTAGTGGAAGTAGAACTGACGAGGGGTTCCCTTAGAACCATCTTCACTGTATGTCGAATACTGCTAATGATGTCAACACTGCTGCAGTCAGAGTATAGCAGTTTTCTAGGGCACAGACTGCTAAGACAGACTGTTCAGCATGATGATTTCAGATTCCTTTTCCCTGCTCGTCAGTTCTGAATTTCAGGATCTACATGTCTGCCATATAGAGGCACAATTAACTTGATAGCACCCATTTAGCACTCTTGCTAAAACAGCGGTTAGTTTCTTTAACATCAAACTGTCTGGAGTGTTGCAACCGCAAATGCACAGTCAGACTGCAAGTTTTGAAAATATGCGAGTTATTCCAGTACACCTGGTAAAAATAATACTGCGATCGGTGATATAAATAAACATGCGGTAGGGCCATATATTCAGCCAATTTAAATACCTCGATTACTAAGTTTTTGAAGTATTTTTCCTTACTGTGGATAGAAGAAAACTTCTGGATCTTACGGCTGAACACTATATCACCCGTACTGAATCTCAGAGTTCTGTCCGTTATCCGACTTGTCCTCATCATGGATCCATCACAAAGGCAGAAGTTGCTTCAACATTCTATGTTTTCCTCTTTCTGATCTCTTCCTCTGGATCTG